ATAAAGCCTCCCACTTGTCCCAGTGATAGGACATGTGGGAATGATTCAAACCTGCACTAGGGGAGGTTCAGACTGAACATTAGGAAGTATTTCTTAACCAAGAGGGTGGTCAAACACTGGAACAGGCTTCCTGGAGAGGTAGTCAATGCCCAAATCTGTCAATATTTAAGAGGCATTGGGTCAATGCCCTTAACAACTTGTTTTAACTTCTTGTCAGGCAACTTTACTAGATCATCACTGTAGGGCCCTTCCAACTGAAGCAATCTATTCTGTATGTCAGTAATCAGGGCACTGAATGAGCAACTAAAATGGGCAAGAACTGTGTTGACAGAACTTGGCGTGTACCACAAACCTAAATAACAGTGCTTGAGACTCAATAAACACTTAAAATACATTTGCAAGCTTGACAGAAGTCAGCTTGACTGAGAAACTGCAATTTGAAAGGTGGTGGTGTAGAGAGCAAAAATTTTGGCTTGCAGTGCTGCTGTATTCACTGGAAAGCAAAAGAGCATCAAGACATCACACAAGAGGCAGGCTTTATTTGGACATATCTGTAGTTTTCCATCATCCAGTTTTCTTCACGTTCCTGGATACACTCTCTCGGTATACATGAATATATGTATACACGTGCACACACAAAGCATACTCTCAAATGTACTATTCTTTTTCACTGAAAAATTAATGTTTCCCTTTTTTCACAATCAAGATACTGAAATGGATAAATGCCAAAACCTGCTTATCTATGTAGTAACATGTTACAAGATGTTCTTTGAAGTCTCCTGCATACAAAGAATCAGCAGAGCTCTTGTTCCACGTTGTCTTGCCTGCAGGGTCAGTCACAGGAGGATTGGTGCTGGCGGAAGCACAAGTCTGTCTTCTGTGATGACAGGGGACACAGCCCCCAGGTATTCCTGGTAATGTGACTATTGGAAGTCTATGCTGATATCTGGGAGCAACTGGCAGCTGAAGTGTTTCTGCTCCTCATGTCTCAGAGGAGCGCATGGTCCTCCCGCCTCCAAGCCGAGACGGTAACTGCATTTGTAGTTTTGGTGAAATGGATCCATATCCACTACTGGGCTGCAACAGAAAGACTCATTTATTTAGTCAGCAGCTAAAACTCACTTCCAAATGCACGATGTATCCTCAGGAGACAGTTCAATCCTGATTTGAATCTCCTGGCTGCAGCCAGGGAGCCCTTTTCCTTGCATTCCCAGTGCATTTTAAAGCCACCTTGGGTGGTGATGGGCATTTTGTTTCAAGCTGCGCTTTCCACTTACAGCTTGCTCTATTTCCTTGACCGTTTGTAACTTTGCTCAGCTGGCTGGTTTGTCTCACTGTGCTGGCTAGAATCTCCCAGCAGAACTGCACAAAGCTGCTGCAGGTAACCTGGTGAGCTCCAAAAGGATATGTGTTAGGATATGACAGAAAAATCCCCATTGCTTGGCACGGTCAGTATGGAAATGTCTCCACTGTCTCTGAAGTCTTAATAGCAAATTAAAATAATGAGGTAGGTGTTTTACACATTTGGCATTCTTGCTTTGCTCCAAGCTATCCTGGGGAGATGACTGATTTATCTGTGGCATTGTTGCATTTTCTTATGGCTGCTGTAGGAGACACTTTCGGCCAGAGAGTGCCTCGCTGACTTGTCAGCATGCTGGCGTGTCTTCAGGTGTTGTTCTGCTAGCGACCTCGCAATGGGAATTCACCTCTATCTCACACATGATGCTGTCTTGGGGGCTCTGCTCATCTTGGTACTGGCATTCCTTGATTTTCTTCCCATTTCAATGTCAAGGGGGAAGCACCTGGCACAACAGATACTGTTTTGCCTTAGAGTCTTGCACTCCTCGTACGCTGCATCACAAAGCTACCTACAAAGCTGATCTAAAAGGCAGCACCATGATTTATGAAGCAGGCAGCATACCTGCCTTCCAGCTCCCATCTGCAGGATGATTCGGGTTTTTTAAGGCTTTCTTGGTTAACAGATGCTTCCTATTTGAACTTGTGGACACTCTTAGATGTGGCAGTCAAATCATAAGCCCACAGTTTGAAATAGTGCTTTCAGTGCAGGTATTTCCTTGTTCTGTTGCAGATTCTCACCAAAGACGTAAAAGCTCCATTAGTGGGTTCTGGGTGCTTTGCTCCTTCCTTTGAAGCTGGGCTGCTCTGTATGGAGCAAACCCTCAGCCGGCTTCAGTCTCTGCTTCAGTCTCTTCCAGCTGCTGCTTTAATGATGTTTTATCCGAGTATTCATTGAAGCAGAGACCAGAACTCGGGTTCCCCCCTCCCTTTGCTGTTCAGGGGCTGCAGCACTGCACTCTTCCCAGCTGGGTGAATACTCCACCTTGTAAGCTCCAGGAAAATAACCTCATCAGGAGGAACTAAGCCACTTGCCCTGATAACAGCAATTACCAAGAAGTGGAAATTAAGGGTCAGGTCTCCCTCAACAAAGGCAGGAATCTAAGACAGAGGTTCCCCATAGAGCATTAGCCACCGTGCTGCTAGAGATGGCAGATGGGAAACTATCCTTAAAAGCTCTAAACGTCTTCCTCAAAATACATGGCTGAGATTGGGCCCTGCTGTAACATAGTTAGGGAATACTTTATACCTGTGTACAAATACCAGTTACACTGCATTATGAGGGCTCAAACAATCTCAGCATCAGCATTAAAAATTCATTCTTAAAAATGTCTCGTTTGGAGGGGGAGGAGGAAGGAAAAAAACCCAAGGGTGGTGTTTGCCAGCTGGGTCTCCCTAAGCACTCATTTTGTTTGTTTCCATGAGTCATTTTTAGAACAGGCAACAATAATCTAACAATACTTGAGTCATACATAGTCCGGAGCCAACTTCTTAGAGAACACAGCTTTCCTGAGGAGAGCGAAAAATAGCCTAAAAGGAGAAGTGCCTCTCTGGCTTTTGTACATTACAAGAAGTTCTGCTTTTTAAAAAGTGGTTGATGGAACCAGCTTTTGAAAACACAGAAAACAATCCTTCCCGTCTGTCCTTTCAAATTTGAGACCTAGAAAGCCATGGGATAGAAAGGGGCTGTTGATTTAAGAAGAACTCCTAAGCCCCCCTTGAACAAGCACGCGGCTGTTAACTGCATGCTAATGCCGCATGCTGCAGCGCAGGTCAAGACAAATGTGAAGGGAAATGAGCTGGAGCTCATTTCTGCCTTTATCACGCTGTGAAGTGCAAGCTGGCTGTGTGGCTTTGGCTGCCCTCACAGAACCAGCCTTCCTGCAACAAAATACATCCAGTCCTACCTTCTGATTCTTAGTAACACCGTCGTTTCTGAAAATCAGATGCCAAGAGATCTTCCTAAACTAAAACCCCACTCAATTTCCTTTCCGTGCTCACAGCTCCCCCAGTGCAATCCTAGCTGCAAGGGACTGACTCAGAGTTCCTCTGTGGACAGAAAGCTTTTTCTGCCTGCTTTTCCCCAAAGCAGCTCAGCTTCCAGGATGTGATAGTTTGTTGTGGGAAGGTCCCATCTCATCGCCTGGAAACAGAGTTATTAGGGAGTATCAGTTCCAAACTTATGCAACAAAGGCTAAGTTTTCATCTGACCTCCTCAGATGGGAGGGGCTTCAGCTAAATATTCTGTGCTACTTCCAGCACAGGGAGTTCTTCCTTCACCTAAAAGAATTGTTTGTTCTGAAGCTATACTATAAAAAGCTGTTCTACATTTGTAAGAAGGAAATATATTACACAAACCCCTATGATAAATACAATTCTATGCAGCATGAACAGACTATTAAAAACATCAGTTGTTTATATAAGAATATATAGGTGACAAATGAACAGTCCTGCTCCCAGTAAAGCACAGCCAGATTTCTTCTTAAGCCACAAACGAGATCAAAATGCTAACACAAGAGAGCCAAACCATCATTTTTGTTATCTCCACAGAGAAACAGCCAGTGTGAGAAGTAAAATACTGTTGCTCCAAATGTATTTAACTGTTTAAACTAAGAAAGTTGCTTCATCCCTATAAACAGATGCTGAGCGTTAAAACAAACCTCAGTCAAAAGCATGATGCAGGAGGCTGTTACAGCAAAAACTTGGTGCAAATGGCTGGTTTGCGCATTTGACAGTATTGGCTAGTAAGACTATCTTCCTCCATCAACAACTTTTCCTCTGATTTGTCTTTTACAATGCAACAAAGAAGAAAACTTCCTTTTTAATGCAAATACGGTAGGAGTGCCAGAAACACACTGAAAGTTTTTAAACTTTTCATTTTTCTAGCTAAGCGCAGACGATTCATTTTTTTCCAAGTGTTTTATTAATTTCAAGCAGCAATCTCAAGAGCACCACGCTGAACTGATCATCTCTCTTACTGGACCCATTGAAAATAGCTGTTCTAAAGCTTTCAGTAGTAGCACCTGCACCTTACGCTCACATCTGCTGTGGAGAAGCATGTGGATATCCGAGGCCAGGAAAGTTGCTCTCTACACAGCTGCTTCCACGTGACTGGAATGAGTCACCTGTCTCTAAGCACTGTGTTTGGGCCTCAAAGGAAAAAAGAAAACTGGTGCAGGTGGGTATCCTTTCTCTCCGCACCACCACGGTTAGCAATTGCATTGAACAAACTGCTTGTAAGAATGCACTTGACTCAACATAGTCTTAAATAACACAAGGAATAAGAAGTTATTGACCATGTCTGATACAATTTCACTTTTCTGGCCCTGCTTTACTGAAAACATAAAAATAGCTGACAACGACTGTAAACTTCAGATGTAAACTTCGATACACTAGGGACAATTTGAAAAACTAGGGAGAACACTGCAAAGACAATTTAATAGGGAATAGCAAGAGCACAGTGGAGAAGTATCTATCAAGAACGTATTTGTTGTTTAAACAGTTGTTCTGCTTGTGCAGGTGAACAAGAGCTTGGGAAGGAATTAGTTTAGCTACAGAAACATGTCTTCTGTAGCTATCTCTGGAAACAGGACAAGGAAAAGGTCTCAGATTAGACTATAAACCCATCACTGAAATCAAATATATAAACTGAATATATTAAAGCTTTGAATTTTTTTACACTTAATTTCTTCTGAATATCTTACCCTTCTCTCCTGTTCAAGGTAAACCTAAACATGAGAAATAGAAGGATAAAGGAGAACTCCACTAAACGTGGAGTACATTTCATCAGAGTCTGTGTAGGCCAGTTTGCCTCCCGTTACGACAACGTTTACTTCATCTCCTGCTTTGAGGTGAAGAACAAGGTGGAACGTCCCAGGACCACCACAGGTCTGTTTCCCCGAGTAGGGTTTGTGATACTCCAGCAGTTCCCTTCTGTACCCAGCCGTGTGGAGCTGAGCTACACTTGCATTGGAGACAGACAATACTGCTTCTACATACTCATCCCTCTCCGGGGCCAGCACGGCGGTGATCAGGTAGCGTCCTTCATATGGTGATGTGAAAATGCCTGCAGAAGAGTTCTCAGAGTGAGTTTTTCAAAATGGAGAGACCTAATCGCTCCAAGCACAATGACAAACAAAGTGACATTGCTACGTACAGGTAACTGTGACAAGGTCACCCTGGACAGCAGACCAACTGACAGCAGTCATGAAGGTAAATGGTTGCTGCTTTTATACTGAAGCCCACAAAGTCCTTCAGGAACCTCCTGGTCTAAGCAGCCACCATGACTTAGAGCTGGGTGATGAGGTGAAAGGCACCCACATGCTGTGCCAGTCCCCAGTAGGTCCAGGCACACCTAACACCCTCAAGTGACACAACTCTGCTCCAGGAGGGGGCAGCCCATAGGTACTACTTACTAGTGGGGAGGCAGTACGTCTTGCCTGCCTCTCCCCAGGAGACCCATCTGGCTGAGCTGCAGTGAAGCAGGTTAGCAAGGAACCTCACCTCTGCTACCTGGGCTCAGCCTGAGCTGGGTGAGGAGCACAACCAGCTGTGCTGGAAGGGCTGACACAGTGTTGAGTTGGCCTCAGAATTACCAGACAGCTGTGGAAAACTGGCAGTGGCGAAGTGTGTGCCTGTCCACATCCATAGGAGGCTTTTACTCCAGGTTTAGATTGACTTATTTTGTTTGCCCAATGCACCAGCAAGGCCTTAGACAGCACCAAATACTGGCAATCCATGCTACTGCCTGTCTGGCATCTCTGTGAGTCCATTCTTTGGCTGTTACCTGTATTAGGGTTGTAATAGTCCCCATCATTCACAAGCACTTTGTTAAAGTGAACCACGCCGACATCACTGGAGAAAGGCTTCTGCGTGAGCCCAGCAGAAAATGACACCAGAGAGGCCGCAGCAGCAGCAGGTCCTAAAATGGGTAACAACATGAGTCAGAGTCACATCAGGATGACAACACAGCCTCTCCCTGTGATGGTTTATAATCCCGTGTGTCTCTGTTCCTGCACATACTCTGCTTGGATCAATCCTGTCACTTGAGGGATGCCAGAAGTAGCAGAATACGTATTGCTGGCCCAGGTCCCAGTTGTCTCACCATAAAATTTACTAAGCACCGTAAAATTCCAGCCTTGGCCACAGCATCCCTGGGTTTGGGTGGGGTGTTTTTTTTTAGCTTCTAAGGAAAAGGTACATGGCTTGTAAATGCTAGCAGTGGAAATCCTGCCACCTCTCAATTCAGCAATGCTTCTGCCACAAACCCTCTTCAGGATCAAGGCTGCCCTTGGACATCACTCTCCATCGCTATCACAACAACAACAGGAGTGCTAAAGGTATATAGGTCGTGCCAGCTTTCCTAGTCATGCTGAGACTCATGCTTAGATCTCTCACCTTCTCTGCTGAAGCGTAGTGAAAACAGCTACAAGAAGAAACACTGGCATTATAGCAAAGAGATCCATCACTGGGGCTTTTCTCTCTCTCCAGCACTTCTCCTTTGAAAGACTTTCCCTTCCAGTTTTTATTTCTTTTCTCAGCAGATCAGACAGACACCTCAGTATTTTATAGTGGCTACCTGCTTACTAGCTAAACACTGCTGCTAGACTGCTGTTGGATGAAATAAATACAATTTGGACAACTGAGACAGATTTTTACTTTTAACAGTCTGGCTTAATGGCATTTAGTGATTGACCACTTAACTTCTTAGTCCCATTTTAGTTCCTTTCCCTCTACACACTTCCCCTAAAGTAGGACACACTGCTAGAAGTAGTCTTCTACTATAGTTGCTTTGTTTGGGCAATTAGGTAAACAACAAATACACTCAAAGTTGCCCTCCTGTTCAGGTTAGGATCCATATCTTCTTTGTGCTCTCAATCCGAGAAGCCCATCAGCAGCCAATGTTTGATTAAGATTATATCCCTTAAAAACTGAAGTTAAAAAGTGGCAAAACTTCATCTAAAATGTGGATATGCAAATGCCCTGCTATCTATCCTTTTTTGTCTGAATAACTTGGCATGGGGGGTGGGAGGGTAAGGCAAGGTGAAGACATGCCTGCAACATCAGAAATGGCACATAACTATCCTGATTTCCCTGAGGGGCTGGTAACCAGCTGCCTCACGTATCTTTGGAAATCCCTTTATGCAGTATTTTGTCTCACGCTCTGAAAAAGACGGAAGCCCTTTTTCATTACCCCTACCTGACAGTGTGCCTGCAGGGGCTCCTGTAGGCTAAGATGAGGTGGTTTGAAAGGACCAAAATTAATTGCAGGAAGTCTACTTACTTCAGGAACTTCTGTACAGCTCCATTACTTTAACACCACACTACTTAATGAAAGCATCTCTTTGTATTCTCAGCTTATCCTGATATTCAAATAAACTAAAAATGCACTTCAACTAACTTCTTGTTGGCTTCTCTCCCCTTCAGTCATACTGCACAGATGACACAAACTATTTGTTGCCTGCCCAGAAACACTGTCCTCTCTGTTTGGAGTAACTCCAGTTCTGTTTGGTTTGAACAAACCTCCTGCCCTGGCCCGCCACAGCTTCCTTCAAGATTTTCCTGCACTAATTGCTAGAATAGTTATGAGAGTCTGCTGCCAACATGGCTTCATATCTGCAGCCTAGTTTAGCTTACCAGCTGGGTTTGTCCAAAGGAGAAATCTTAAACCTAACTATTCTCTAGATCAGTTCAGTGGTCAATGTAGATCAGTTCAGAGGCGCAGTAAAGATGTAATGTGTCTGTTCTCTTACCCTCCTCTCTGCCCCCAGCTGGAACTGTGCCTGTTTAAAGCTTTCACAAGCGCCACCAACACCTCTCAGCAGTGCTCTTGCAGAACCTTACAGAGAGGTGAACTACCTTCTCATACATGTCCTCACTTGCAAACACTGCTTCATGCAAAGATCAAAGTTCAGCTTCTCTAGGCAAGGTCCAGGCTTGGAAACTTCACCGAAGCAGTTAAATGTCATGGAATTATGAAAATCAGGAAGAAAAGTTTTAAAGCACTTAAAAGCTGGAAACCACATGCACAGCTCTGATGAAGAAACCGCCAGACAGACAAAAAGTTTAACAGTACATTCAACCATGGTTTTACAGCTTCTGGGGGAGGAAAAAACTCTTGGACTTTAGATATACTCAAGAAGGTTTCACTTGAGATATGTTTATATATACTCCAGCAGGAGCAGGTATGCACGTTCATGGCAATTTCAGCTAGTGTAATGCATTCTGGGGAGTCAAAAGACCAGAGAAGATAGCATGGTTCTCCGCCTCCCTTTTAACTTCCCAGCACAGTTCGTGCCTCCCACAGAGCCCAAGGGCCAGAAGGAGAAAAAGAAGAGGAAAAGCAAAACCCAAGCCAAACAGAACAGTGCACAGCACAGGCATTTTCTGTCAAGATGAAAGGAGAAAAAAATAACAGTGTAATGGTGCTGCTGACAACTGCTCAGCAACTGGAATGAGGACTCTTCAAGAATCTACACCAAAAAGAGACCATAAGTACATCATTCATTCGTCAGTACGCACTTATGACTTCTTTGCATATGGCAGGAGTAGGAAGGATATGTCAGATTTCCTCTGCTTGGCCAATACCCCTAAACCTAAATGAGGGCAAAGTGCATTATTTCAGTCAGGACAAAGAGGACAAAATATCAGCAATTTATCACCTCCCTGCTCCCTTTTCCTGTTGTGAGGTGTTTTTTTTTAACTCTTCATTTTGACCCTAACATCCTATTTCCATGAACATTCCTTCTGCTTATGGGAAGGCCATGTAAAGCAGCACAGTGTAACACTGATTTCCATTAGCCAGTGCTCACTGAAGTTGGGCCCATTATTTCTGCTCTGCTAAGTCACAGTGGTTTTGATGCCGATGGTAACTCACTCAGCGCATTAGGAAGACACAGCTACTTTTCTCCTGAGCCTGTTAGTAACAGCTCTTTCTGCTCTAACATCTCTTACCTCAGCTTGCAGCAAGAGAAGGTTTTCCCTAGTGCTTATCTATCTACTGCTCCTTACACAACCATCCACCTTCTACCCCATCCTTCAGCACACTTCTGTGAATTGCACTGTTCTTTCATGCAAACAGCAGCAAAACACAACCACTGCTGCAATTGCAGGTGATCACGTTCTTTACCTCAGAGTCAGCAAACATGCTCTCCCCTGGGCTAGACCACTGATGTTACTAATGAGAATACTGCTTCCTGTCCAATGATTGAAAGAAAGAGCTAAACATGCAGCAGAACCTGTCACAAGCACGACAAGGTAATTTATGTATTCAGTAAACTCTTTCTTCAACTCAAGGACCACCTACAACAATAAAAATATTACATTAACATAACATTGTGCCTTTATATTTGAAACGTGTGCTACACGCTTGCTGCCTGGAGTCACATGGAAAAAGTAAAGATGGTTAGTATCAGACAAGTAAAAAGAATTAAAAAGACCAAATTAGCCCTTTTCTGCACAGATACATACAGCAGCATTCACACAGCGGTGGGACTCACTAGATCAGCTGTTTTCTTTATTACACTGCACAAGGAGTTTTCTTTTAGAGAGGTGCAACAGCCTCTACTGAAACTGCAAGGCTAAGGACACAAGCAACACTGCAGGCAGCATGAAGGGGGAGGGTGGGAAAAGCAGTTTGTGCTTTCAGTGACTTTTTTCACTGTGACCCTCTGTATGTTAATCAGAATGTCCAAATCCTCTTCTTGGCTCTGTCCTTGCCTAGTTGTGTGACCTGGGATTTTACAAGCATTTTCTTATCAGATCCTACATCAGTTCATCAGCCAATTCACTACTTCTGCCTCTGCAATTTTCCTTGCTTCAGCAAACATAAATTCTCATAACTGTAAAACTGCCATGCTTCAGTAACATTTCCTGCTGGTATTTCTTTAATAACAATTGGTTCAACTCTTTCTGCATTAAAAGGGATTAGGTGGATGCACTGAGCTCCTGACACTTAACTCACCTCGGTCATAAACTCCTTGCCCATGAAAATAGAGCTAATATGTAATACTGTACCTTATACTCTCTCACTACTACTTGTTAGGTCCTTGAAAATGTTTACCTATCATGTCATATTGTGAGATGCATGCAAACAGATAGCTAATGCATCTGAAAATCTCAAGAAATACTTTGCTATTTAAAGTAGGCAAATTGTGCCTCAGCATTCAAGAAGACCACTGAAGTGGCCTAGTTTAATCCCAGAGGAGAGTTGGAGCCCTCAGCTTCTTCCTGAACGGTGCTTTTTATGTAACAGAAGTTATTCAGAAACAGAAGTGAAAGGAAGTACTCAGAAGGCCAATTTAATAGTAGAAGCTGCTTATTTTAGAAATTATTGTACAAGAACATCTGATCTTCTTTCAAATTTCATAACTACAAAATGCACTGGGCGAACACTGGTAAGGACATCATAAACTGGTCCTGCACAGATTAGATATTAAGGATTCCTTGATGCCTTATTTAAGCATTCTTTCCCCAATAAGCCAAAAATCTTCCATTCCCCAGCTGTTCATTTCCACCACAACATCGTTAACTGCTGAATGTTACCTCAGAATGCTCTCTTTCTTTGCTGCTTATAAGCAAACACTGATGATTAGGGACAGTGGACGTAAATGCTCTAACTCCACAGGATCTGTACCACCCTTACCTCCCTGTTTTCTCTGACTACATACCACTGGGGTTTGCAAGGCATTTTGGGAAAAGTTAAAGGAAAGATCAGAAGGTATATCTTATATTTACATAGGTCTTCAGGGGCACGGATCAGGGAAAGGAACATCTTGGTCAAGCCCACCTCTCTCTGGATCCCAGGGTGATAACGTTACTTTCAACGTGTTCCACCAAGCAGCAACAGGCACGCTGCCTGCCGCACCCTGCCTTCTCAACACTTAACATCCACCTACTGTTTCACACAGTTTTAGCATAAACTGATTAAAATACTGCTGTCTGTGAACGGCACAGATTGTACAAAGTGAAAGAAAACCCCCAGGAAATCCATTTATCACAGAAATCTTGACATCTATATTGGCTTTGCTGGCATCGAGATAAATGAGTATTTCTTTACTTCTTATCCTCTTCCAGAAGCCTCGTCTATTGCTGCTTGTTCTTACTACCACAATCCTCAAATGCAAAAAAGACTGCTTTAAGGCTATGACAGATTTTTAATTAGAAAGTATGAATATCAGGATTTCAGTGTGAAATCTTTACATCTCTTTTTGTCAGTACCTAGACCAATCTTTATGATGTTTATCTGTGATTTCATTAGTGCCATCAAACTAAGTCCCAAGGTAGGATTTTGGATGCCATAAAGCCCTAATGTTTTATTTTCATCTATTTCCCATATTTCCTCAAACAAATTTAGATGAAATCATTATTTTTGAAGAGGGCGTGGGAATATTCACTTTGATCCAGGATATCAGATAATATCTTGAGCATGAGGTTGTCGGGCAGGCAGCACCCCATCAACATATTTATCAAGGCCAACTAGCATGTCCCACACAAGACTTATACCTGTTTATCATGCAAATCCATAAATGAGCTTATTTACAATTAACAATTATAAAAAATAAAAACTAAACACCAAAGTCAGAAAACTGCATTTGGAATCTTTTTAAACTGTGGTTGTCTGTACCAGCACTTTTGCTTTCCCAAAAGTCAGTAACACGAGCCCTTGTGATTCTAACAAAGACAGAGACTGTCCCATGAGGAGGACTAACACATGCACTAGCTCAGATACTAGCAGTGCTTCAAGATCTTAGTCTTGGCTTTATTCATATCTTATTAAAGAAATATTAAAATTTTTGGAAAGAAATATATATTTTAGCATTTAAAAGGAAAGTAAAAAGGTCAGTACTGACATTTACTAGGACATAGAAACCCTCTGAATTTAAAAAAAACCCCACTGAAATAAGTAACAATAACCCAAATGAACTATTTTTCAAAACCTCCATATCTTCCAAGGATGCAGATTATGTTTTGATGCTTAGGTATAGAAAAATCTGACAGATTTTCATCAGTGCTAAACTTGAACACTAAAAATCAACGTTCTCTCAACCATGACAATCCAGGGACTAAAATAAACATTAATTACCTGTGTAAAGAATTTCTAGGAAACAACTGCCTTACCTTGTGAGTCCGTGGGAGGAGGAGATAACTTTGGATATCCTACAAAGGAAAAGTAGTATGTGTGACACAGTACAGAATGTAATGGAATACATTATGACAAAATATCACTGCAGTCTCTGTTACCTAACAGCAACCTACTGAAACAGCTACTAAATAGCATCTCTTAAGAGATGCTCAATTATCATTAAATTGGAGTGGTCATGGTTAATAAAACCAAATTCTTAGTACAATGTACTAAATCCACTGCAAACACTATAGCAAGAAAAAAAAATCATTTAAGTTCCCCTAGTGGCAAAGCCGCTGTAGTTACCAAGGATTTTACGTTAGCTCTGTTTACCTCATGCTTTACGCAGCCTTGGCAAGGGCAACAGAAGTGGCACTGAATCTGTTTCCCTTACTTCTGCAGCCAGCCAGAGGCTGCAACGGCCCCTTTGCAGTATCTCTGCCGTAAGCCCATTCCCAGCTGCAACAGCTATAAGGGCATCCACTAAAGGCTGAAAGGTGGCTGGTAAAGCACAATAGATCTCAGTGCCACTCCTCTAGCAAGACCTGGCTTGTCCGTTGTACTTAGATGGGAATGATTCATTGTCAGTTTGGTTCTCTCACCTGGTGCTCCAGCATACCCTTCAGCAATGGGCACAGTACTTTGACCAGCCTGACCATCCACACTTCTAAGCCGCCCTCTTCCTGACATTAGAACAGTGCCAGGAGGCCCTGCCTCTCCAGTCTCCAGGATGATCCCCGTTGTTCCAGGCAGAAATGGCACAACTCCTGACCCTGGCAGTGCTGGGCGTGGAGGAGGTCTTGGCTGCGGTGGCAGGAGGGGGGTCCTCTGTCGCGGGGGTTGTATTTGTATCCTCGGCCTTGATGGAAGCAAGGATATGCCAGGCTGGGGCTGCAGGGGTGGTCTTGGTGGCAATGGCTGCTGTGGTACTTCTGTTCGCCCTTTGAAATGATGAAAGAAGAAAGGAAGATACAGAATTATTCACCTAAAATAGTATTTAAAATTGACTGTTTTTTGTAAAATTAAAAAAAAAGAACAAACAAAACCCAATTTTAAATTAAAATAGGACTCAGTTTGAGGCCACCTTTTCCCTCAGACCCAAGACTGCAGTGATAAAACTCCTTTCCACTCCTGCAGTACTATAGACTCCCCTCTTTCCCAGCCTATGACACAGGGAAAGGAATGAAGACAGCCTGGAGAGAGGAGAAGCAGCAGTCATAGAATCATACAGTAGTTAGGATTTGAAAGTACCTTAAGATCATCTAGTTCCAACCTGCCTGCCATGGGTAGGGACACCACACACTAGACCATGTCACTCAAGACTCTGTCCAACCTGGCCTAAGTCAAATAACCTGTGAACATTCACCTGCTTGTCCAGCTTCGACTTGCCGCACACCAAGCGGGCTGTGTATCCCACCTATTCCCTCTGGTGCCTTCATCTTCATTGCGAGCTCTCTCTCTGCGTTCACTTCGGTGTGCTCTCCCGCCCATTGCTCCTACTTCTGACTCTGTATTCACACAACACCTAGCATAAGGCTGACCCTTTAGCACTACCATAAAGAAAAGTATTCACAGGAAAAACTGAGTAAATGAACACTGACTTAACAGATTTTTTCCCCTACTTTGAAAAGCAATAAACTTCTAATTCCAAGTATTCCCATTACTAATATTTTCTGACAACAAAGGCAGAACCCTAGGATATAATCCACCAGAAAAGCCTTTATTGTTTAAAGAGAAGAGATACCATTAAAAGACTTTTCCAGTAGGGCAGCCAACACATATGACATCAGGGTTTAACAACACTGACATGGTTACTTTTGTGTATCTGCTCCAGTTCTACATAGGAATTACGGCTTATTTATAAAAATGAAGTCCTAAATGACATATAAGGATGCAGTGTCCTCCCAAGAATGAAGTTGAATTACACCAAGAACAGGAATCTACAAGTGTGTAGATTTCAGCAATCTACATATTTACAGATGAATTTGTCATGTCAGATGCAATGTCAGCTTTTACAGGGAATATTTAGAATTTCATTCTAAATTCAACATTAGCGTTGGTTGCATTTTGTGACTATAGCTTTAGGTGCAGGGATGGAAAGGAGTTTCCAGGGAAACAGACAAACATCCCCTTGCAAATTTATCTAATGCAACTTATCACACAAGGACGCTTGCAATGGTCCACAGTGGAGACCACAGCTTTGCCCTTTGCGAGAGCCTACAACCATATCATGCAGATATTGTCCATGACGCATGGCTGGGGCTAGACATTGTTGCTGGCAACTCACGTGCTGTTTTCATGACTACTCAACACCTGCGTTTTACCCTTGTGAGTCTCATTCCTTGTTTTCAGTCTCATAATAAGCCCACATAAGCCTTCCAGAGAGGCTGTATGAAGTCATAGTCTCGCACCACCTGCATTCATTTACTAGACATGCCTGCTAGAAAAAGAAGTCTTCCTGAGCTTTGCTGGCTGAATTTAACTGTCATGAGAATCGAAACTAACACAAGCGGTGCACTGATAAACTGCATTGAAGCTTACTCCATAACTCTATCCACAAGGCAGAGAACTAAGGAGAGAAATGTTCACTTTATACAGATTATAGTTATCTTTATAAAAATCCCAGGATTAAAAACATTTTATTAAATAAAAGGCTTAAAGAAAGTGAATTGCTTAATGGTGTTATTATCTTGGTGAGACATCTTCTGTCCACAGCAGCACAGACTTAGACCCTCAACTAAGAGCTTCAGATTTACCTCATTCAAAACACAGATTGACAAAACACTTTACCTTGGGATGCGAGTACTTGTCATTACTCTAGTCAACTAGGCTGAGCTTTATTAAGACAATGACTTGAGCTGACACGAGGAAAATGAATAACTTGCTCTGGTTCCTTTTCTAAACCTTCAAATAACAACTGCTTAAATCCCACATCCTGTGCAAACCACTTCCTCGCATGCACCATCAATAATGCAATATTCAGAACTGTCCACTACAAAAAAAATCCAAAATCACCTGCCTAAAGCTCAACTTAAAGTACCAGTAATCAGGTATGTGTGGATTGAGAGGGATCTCGACTGCCATCTTTGCCAACCTTTTTGGCCTCTTCTACTGAAGATATATTATAGCAAGACGCTACCAATAAATCAGTAGACAAAGATGATAACACTGGAGCCACCCTATCCTGATGCTGAATTCGACACATGTTTTCAATTCACAAGGCAGTGAGAAAATGAAGCCCTGACGAAGGCTGGGGTGAATCTAGCTGGACCTGCTTAAGCTTTGCTGAACAAGAGACAAAACAGAAATCTTCCCTGTCATCTTCCCATCTATCTGGGAAGGCGAAGAGCATAGCTGAGCTCATTACACAGCTGAGAACAGTAACACTGTCCTCAGCAGTGGCATCCTGGCCGCTCTAGTTGTCATCACTGGTGTGACAATTCAGTTACCATGCCACACAACTACTTCTGCTCTCAGATGCCCATCCGCAAGTGAAACAGAACGAAATGTTTTTCCTCCTCAGCTGAAAATTTACTAACTGAAGAAGGAATGATTTACGAGCAGTGACCTGGATGCATGAGGCGGGTGGATCTTCAGGATGCATCTGTTTCTAGTATCATTCTGCCCCAATCATCATCTCTGGAGCCCCCAAAACACATAGAAACGAAGTGCAAAAAACAAACTAGCGAGTAAAAGAATCTGTGACTGCACTCAGAGTAAGCCAAACAGACCTTACTGGGATTTTTTTATGGATACCAAAGGGATTTGACAATTAAGATACAAAGTAAAAGCTCACAGGGAGCCTAGAGGAATCGACTATAGCTATTTGCACAACACTAAGATTTTACATTGCCCTTTATCAGTGTTGTAATGCAGAGCACACATTTGTTTTCTTAGACCACAACTTCAGCAGAAGACGTTTTGCTGTTGCTTTCAAAGCCCGGCTACAGACAAAATTCCCAGAGGAATTGCAGTTCAGGTCAAATAACCATAATGAAAGCAAACTGCACTCCCAGCATGGTATCTGGCTGCATGACCACAGTTGAGATTCCTGGAAATCTTGATGAAGTTGTACAAATGGGCAGTAAGTTACAATAGACTAACATGGCTTTCAGTTTCTTGCCATTTGGAGAGCAAACATACCTGCAAAGAGGTACAGAGTGCAGTGAGAACAATTTATCCTACAAGACATGGAGCTGGAGATGGTCACCATCTAATGTGGACAAAGAGCTGCTGGACTGCATTACCTCGGTGAGAACATGCATGGTTCCCTACACTCTTGGAGCAAACCACTGCCTGCTGCCCCACCACCTTGTGTATGGCAGGATGCTGTAATATCTTCATCAGAAATTATGACAAGAAAATTTCTGGCCCCTGGGTCCATATCTGACATACAATCAATGACTAACTTGGCTTGTTAGTTTGCACTGAGGCACTTGAAACCCATTAATTTAAAATTTGGGAAAAAAACACAGGCGTATTCCTAAGATCAGGGTCATATGACTTTGCTCAGGTTTACAGTGAGCCGGGCTCACACTGCTTGATAAGATTTTATATGGTATATCTTGCAACATATCCTTGCCTTACTGCCCTCTACAACTGTTATTAGCAACAGCTTGTTTCTGTTTCGGTCCTTCTGAGGTCAAATGACATCATCTGAATGCTACGATACGCTGGCAAATGGTGCATAAGAAATTCTACACTGATCTAAGGCCAGGACTGACAGTCTTCCTTTCAAATGTTGGTATTGGTGATGATGCTGCAGATCACAGATATATGATTTAAGCCGCACCCCAACTCACATAAATGGGTTCCCAAACTACTGCCAAAAAGTCTCTTTTGCCAAAATCTTTCTGCGACTCCAACCATCAAAATTTACTTAGACTGCTGTGCCAGAGAGTTATTTTAATTGGAAACATTTGGGGACTGAAGTGTGTGCTTCACCTATCCTTCAGAGGCCAGAGGTACTCCATCACAGGGAGGTTTGCTCAGAGCGCCTACTCCCCAGATCCAGCAGCAGCATCCTTCCACAGGCTCTCAACACCCAAGGGTGGATGGAGAGCTCTGCCCTGAAACAGCATTATTTTATGGAAACCCAGGCACGCTGAGGCTTTTTAATGCATTACAACACTGCAAGAAGGCTGATAATACCACCCATGAGGATGCTTGAACACCTGCTTTAAATAGCACAGAAAAGATTACTGTGCATTTCTTGGACCTTTCTCCAGTGTTGGTCCCTACTGCAAATTTATTTTGGTCAAGACGAATGAGAAATAGGATTACACAAGTACATCATAATGCATTTTAATGGGGACTGGGTCTGCTTCTGCAGGATCTAGGGGTGAAGGTCCTAACCCTGTTGAATTTAAGTCAAGATTTCACCAAGTGAACTATACGAGGATTACAGACCCCCTCCACTCCCCTTCACTTTTCCATTTAAAGGAACAGAAATATTTATTTTTTTAATCTCTCACAAGAGCTTCTCATCTCAGAAGGATTTTTGTGTCAAGTACTGCAATACATTTGGTTTTAAGCAATTAAACACTCAAAAGAAACACATCCTATCACAGGCTTTCAAGTCTCTGCCTCAGAATGAGAAGGACATTCTTCACTAAAGAAATTACTTTCAGACCGACCCTTCATGAAGCACAACTTTTCCATTCAAGCAAGAGTGCTCACAGTCCTGCATCTGATCTCCCCCAACCACCACCAACTGCAACAGCTCACAGCCTCTTCCCTCAGCACCTCTCTTCTGATTCAAGGCCAGCCACAGAAATTGGCATCTTATTTCTCTCACGTGTGCACAGAATTAAAACCAGAAGCATCAACCAACTGAAGAGTGCAGTTTCAAAATAGTCTCCAATTCCTGTGTTTTTGCGTCATGCTGACAGAAACAGGAACTCAGCTTCCTTCTGTAAACTTTGAATCTCTCAGAAAAACAACCCTTTGCTGAAATTTGGAGGAAGAGCTGCAGAGTTCTTGCAAGAACTACGCCCTTCTTCAGAGGGAACTGAGTGGCATTTGGCAAGATCTCCAAACCTTCGTGGCACGGTTCACCAACATGTGAGGTTACCATTTCACAGCATTTTAAGCCAAAGGGAATGTGCCTTTGCTTCTCAGCCACTCTAATGCAAATTTTAAACCACCTGCGGAGGTAGATTTGAGCTAACATGTTGGACTACGAACAAAAGTGGCTGAGATGTGAAAACACTGCCAGGTGGGGTGTGCACCTATTGCCAACTTGCCAGCTATGTTGTGGGAATGCAAACTCCTGGGAGAACTATGAAGAAGTCTTATATTGCCATACCAAGATAGGCCGGAGCTTGTTTGTGAAAGTCCTAAATCAAAGAGTTGGTGATGAATTATAATCATTAACTCATGCTAAGAACAAAGCTTACAGGGAATCTTTCTTATCATAAATTTAAATTCCTTTGACTTCTGTTTTCTCCACTTACTTTTCAGTTTCCCCTGAGGAATCAAGAATAATATTATACAACAAAATAAAATCAAATTAACTGGAATAACACCCACAGATAATTACAACTTAAAACTCACTTTAAACTCACTATCCAGTAGTATTAGTTTTCCTACTCTCTTTATTCTGGCTCAAAGTAAACATGAAAGCATATAAAACTTCTTCATTTTTGAGAATACTTTTATAAGCACTCAAAGTCCTCTACGGTGTTCTAGAGCAAAGAACCAAATTAGAGTCACTGTAAAAACAAGGTAGAAGTTGTGTAATATTAAATTTTTCCTCCCTGTTTAGTTCCTTCCTAAGTGATTCAGAAAAGACAGCCAGTTGAAAAACAAACTAACAAAAAGCATTTAAAAGAGAAAAAAACTTACTTGGATCAGGCTGAGATTTCAGCATGCCTTCAATGTCCGTGGTAATTTTGGAAACCTGTCTGTGGAAGTGCTGGACAGAATTTTTGAGGCCAGAAATATCAGTGGAATGAGACACTATAGTTCCATTCATATCACGGATGCAGTTCCATAAGCTGCTCACGTGCTTATTCAGACCTTCTTTTATCTTCTGCAAGCTACCTGAGACAAAGTCCAGCTTGCCACAAACCTGTTCAACATGCGAGACTCTGCTCTCAACATCCGAAACACCCTCCTGGATACCTTGGGTCTTCTCTTTGCACTTGCTAAGATCATTCAGGATATGGTCATTCAGCTGTTCTAGTCTCTCTTTCACTTCACCACAGCAGTTATCACTGGAATGAGCAGTTTGATTTGCAAATGTCCTCTGCATTTGATCGATTTTCCGGAAGACACCTCGTTGTGTTTTTCTACAGGTAGAATTGACACCCAGAAGCTGCTCCTTGCAGCTACTCAAGCCATCCTGAAGATTTTTCATATCTTTATCCATGACACTTAGACTATACCGGAATACACGTACATCTCTCTGCATTTTCTGGATGTCACGTTGGTTACCCTTAATTAAGTTGAGTTTCTCATTAAGAGAGCTATTTAGAGACTGCAGGAGAAAAGAGTTATTCTCTGTTTTCAAAAGCAAGTGACTGTATTTGTTGCTACAGTTTTCTAGCTCTTTCTGAATGTCCTCTGTACCCTGCGGTGCAGACTGACATTTCTGCCCACAGAGGTGTTCAAGTGACAGCAGTTTGTTCTTCAGGAAATTTATCTCCTCTGTAAATTGTTTATTTGCAAATCCTGCATCACTGGGCAAGATGGGCCCAGGATTAATAAACATTCCATCTGGGTCTGTGGTATTAGCAATCTCTAATATAGTGCCACCTAGCCTATCTTCTAATGCCCGCAGCTTTTGGTCAAACAAGTCTCTCAATTCATCTACCTCAGCAGCTATAGCACCACGGAGAGTTTCCTCAACGTAAAAGCAATGTTCTTCAGCATTTCGTTCTGTAACATTCATCCTTGCATATAGCTCCTCCAATCTCTCACCAAACATGTCTTCTAGATCTGGAGTTGACAATCGACTGATCTCATTATCTATTCGGACGTTCAAGATCCTGTGTGCTTCCGCAACTCTCTCAATCTTCTTATCTAAATCCTTTATTTGTTGGTCAAAGTCATTGCTCTCACCCTCCTTGCAACAATTGGACTTGTTTGATGGAATCTGAGTTCGGAGAGTATTTATTTCTTTCCTCAAGTCATTCTCTTTTCCTTTTATAACATCAATTATTCCTACACAGTTACTGTCATTGTCGTCACACTGCTGCTGGATATCCTGTAATTTGTATTCACAGGAGTTCTTCAGATCTGCCATTTTCTTTTCAAATCCTTCCAGTATTTCCTGTCTGAGGGACTCAAATTTTGAATCTATATACTCCCGATATATGTTGTCACTGGGCATTGTTATTGTAGGTCCTTGTGCTGCCTCCTGCAGTTGCTTTAATTGCCCTTCATAGTCTTTTACTTTTCCATTCAGTTCCTCCAGCTTGTCATTCCTCATCTTCAAGGCTTCTTTGACGTCAGCTAGCTCAGACTTTAGATCTTCCATTTCGAAATCAATAAAAGGGTCTTTCTGATCTTTATTGTTGAGGAGTCCAGGCAGATGAATAGTGTCTGTTTCACCACCAACCGCACTATCGGGCTCTGGGCGGTCATAAAGGTTGTTCAGCCAAGTAACCAACATCTTACTAGCATCTTCTTGGACAGTCAACTTTAGATTTTCATTCACGCCTGCCACAGAGGACTGAAGTTCAAGCACTGATCGTGTAAGCCTAAAAAGTTCATCCTCAAGAAACTGCATTTTCTTCTCATATGGTGGAGGTTCTGGCACTTCTGTTGGTTCTGCATCTGTTTCATGGAAATAACAGAAAAGCCTGGATGTAAATATTCCCAGTGGTATCTGGTTTAATCACCTGATGCTAATTTCACTTTTCTTTAAAGCCAAAGAATGACTTACATTGCATAATGCTTGTTCCCTTTTCTATTCTTGTTTTCAGTAGTTTATAATTAAAACATTATCAGAACACTCCAAATTAAAATTTTAGCACACTAATTCCTGCCAAGATAAAATGGCAATAAATTAAGCAGAATCCCTTTTCTTGTTCAGCAATGAATCTAAGCTATAGCATATATAATACACCATTATAGATCCATAACGTCACAATGCAATCACCTTTAACAGTAATTTGGGAGGTACTGCTCCTGAATTCCCACTGGAAACTTACGTGTCAATAATTTATGTACCTAAAGTGAATTTATGCTTCAGTGTTTTGCTGAACTGGGATCCAAATGCATATATTGGATGAGGTTCCACAAGATATTGCAGTTATCAAATTGCTTAAAAAATACATAATTATTGGATACATATTTAAGGAGGCAATAAAAATTTGTATGAAAGCATAAGCTTCACACGACCAAAACCATTAGGTTAAAATAACACCAGCACTCTCCTCACGGAATGAAAAAAAGTAAAAGCAGACTTTTAGCTACAATCTACTTTTTACTTTGCACAATTCAACTAATGAATCTGAAACTATCTGTCCAATCCATGTGTCATTGGTATCACCTCATTTGCAGAGCCACATACAGTACTGGATGTTCTGTTTCAAGCAAAATGTGTAACAATTCTAGAAAATCCCTAAGAAAGAAAGAAACATTATTGGAGATCAATAAAGTACAAACTGCAGGAAAAGTGAAAGTAATTTGTTATTTAGGCTAGAGGAGAGGAGAATGAAGAGTGATATTCTGAAAGATATCTGCAAACCAGTAGGGAATAAACTGTTTCCGTATTTGTTACTGATGGGGACAAGATGAATGGGTTTCAACTGGAGCACATGAAGGTGAGGCCTGATAGCTGTACAGAAAGTGAAATGCAGAAAGCATTTCCACACGAGCAGCAGAATTTCCACCAGTGGAGGATGGACAGACATAGCTGATCCCAACTTAGGGGATGGATAAACAGAGCTCTTAAGACCCCTCTAATCCTATTTTCTGGTATCATAGAGTTGTTTGACAAGGCACTAATAAGTCAAGATACTCTGTGATCCCAAATAATCATCTAATATTTATCGAATCTGCAACTAGACCACCAGTTGTTTTACTGTAACAAACATTTAATACCACTTTAATTTGTAGATCCACATGACTGTATTTATTTGCTTACTCCCATATATCTTTGCATTGTGCACAGAGGGGTACACTCTATAAACACTTCATGTATAATCCTAAGCGGGATTTTGCATGATACTTTCTATGCAATGCATAATCCAAACACATTTGCACACTGAAAGCATACTATTGCAGACACGAAAAAGTAAATGTAGTTAAGAAGCAGAAGCTAAGAAGAAAATAAACTTCTTCAAATATTACAGAAAATAGACACACAAATTGTTATCATTAGAATAACTCTTTCAAATGACAAGTGGCATTAACAGTTAAATCTTCAGACAAAATAATTTTAGTACTGTTTCCAAGCTAGATATACAGTGGAGAGTAACACTGAGATAGGGTCTGAAGGACACAGAGTTAGATTTTTTCCTAAGTTTTACACTGGAATTCATCTTAAAGACATTACAAAGCAGGTAGGAAGTCACAGATGTACTCTCAAGACTGGCAGGGTGGCAGATTCCTTTAATAATAAAAAAGTACACAGAGTGTAGCTATTACCTACACACTGGTGTATTTTTGCATTGGATTACAGTTATTTTAGGGTCGGAGCAGAAAGAAAATCTCTAGACATAAGCAGTGTGCAAGTTACTTAAAAATATCACTGGTTTATTATTATCTTCTGGAAATAATACTTTAGGTCGCCTAAAAAAATATTTTAAAAGCTTATTTTTAAAGCATGTATATAATCTATAGGACTGGTCTGAACCAAAGTCCCAATCCATTCTACTACACAAAACCACAAGTGGAAATCTGACTAAGCACCATACGTGACACTAATCTCCAATGATGTTGGAAAAAGTCCTTCAGAAGGAAACATCTGTTTGTCATTTTTTGTTAATGCAGAAAAGGCATAGGACTGCAGTAACAGCATTCCTTCTCACCCTTTAGAAGACATTATCTTACACAAACAAACATCATTCATTCTGTAAGGTATTTTTTCAGAAATCAAGGTTTATCATTCCCCTTTAGTATTAATGTAGGTAACCTAACATGAAAGAATCTGTAAAATCTGCACAAACCCTTGAACAAAGAAAAAACTGCTCAGGAGCACTACATATCATTAAAATTAGTACCTGTTCTTTTTCAATAATAGTTCCTCTCAAATATATCTTCTTTGCTGACATTGAAGAAACCACAGAAAAACTCCTGTAAATTCTTACAAAAACATCAACCTTAACCCAAAGGTTTTCCTGAACCATGAGTAGGCAGCTGGTATTTATGGCCAGTGATCTACAGCCACCCCTCCATTATTCTTCAGGAAATTCTCTGTATCAAGGCTGTTATTGCCTGGCTATTATTTTCCCACCATGCCATGTCTTCCATATGGCTTTTGTACCTGCCAGTTGTTGAGTTTAATAGAAACCATAATGGTTCTTATACTTAAAAGACGAAATAAGAAACCAAAATTCAAATAAAAAGTTACCCAAGCCTTTCTTCATAACAGCTTTTGCTGGTGTTGTGGGACGACGAGCAGTGTTTGGCTGTTCTGCTGGGCCTTCTTTGCAGTCCTCCCCTTTGTACCCGGGACAACATCTCCATTCCAGCTCTGTTACTGTCTTATACGCAACTGTGTACCGAGGTCTGAAACTTGTTCGGTATCTGCCAAAACAGAAAGCAATTTAAACAGTCCATAACCTCATCTGCTATTTAGATTAAAACTAAAATTAAAAGTTTGGTTTGTTTGTTTTTTAAATCAAAACCAATTATTTTCTTCTATGATTTTGCCCTTCAAATATCAAATGAACAAATGTTTCTGCCTAGGTTTTAAAGTTACCTGCACTCAAAACAGTCATGTCAGGGGTAGCAAATATGGCCATAGAACAAAGGCTTTCACGTATGAGCAGAGGGGTAATATGATGCAGGAAGTGAATTTTCAACTCATCAGACACTACCGAGAGTAACAGTGACCACCAGTGTATTACGCTATAAATTCAAAACCTTTTTCCTCTAACTAACTGTTTATCATTGCAAACCCACCCACAGGGCTGCTCTGGCAGCAGCATTTCTGGACATCAAAAATCATTTCTGCCTTTGTCCCATTTGCCTTTTCAGAGTCTCCACATAAGCCATTCCTTGGAATCCATATGTAAGGAGAAGTCAAAGCTAGGAGGAATTATTACAGGGAAGGACAAAATGGTGAAACCATGAGTCAGATAAGGACATGAAAGGAGTCAGATGAAATGCCACAACCAACAAAGGAATCAAGTCTTTCCTACTTCACTAGTTAAGATGAAAAGGGTCTTGCAGACAAACCTACGCAAACATTACGTACGTAAACCTTAAGTTTCCCCAACTAATCACTCAGAAGTTAATAAATGGCAAACTGATTCTGGTTGTGTGACTTTCTTTAACTGCAGACTTACTCTGTAACGTTCCTTCAGCACAGGTACCCATGTTCAGCTGCAGTCATACACTAAGGTAGTCCACCAGACCATAAGCAGAGCCTGTGCTATTTTAGAACAACTAAATCAATTAAAAGTTCCATTTTGGGTTGAGAGAGGAGGAAAATAAGTAAAACAGGAATTTGTCACCTGAGTTCTATAAATTGGTATACTTGGAATAAATAAGAAACAAAAAAGTTATCTCGATTTCTCATATTAATTCCTTTCTTTTACAAAATTAGTATCATACTACTAACCTTTCTACAACATTTTCAGACCTTCTTTTCTTAAGATTATTTCAGATTAGACAACAATTTGAATGCATTAATGAACAACAGGCTCACTTCACAGCTGACGTATCTCTAAAGTAGTGATACCAGCAGAATAAATACAGGACAGCAGCAAAGGACTCCGCTCTGCAACAAATTTCACTCCTAGCCTGGCTGGGCTCATAGGGACTGTATTTTGGGACAGAGAATACAGTATAGAATGGGCACCGGAAGCAGCCATGCTATCACACAGAAATCAAGCATATGTTTCATTAAACACTGCCTTGTATTAATGTGCAAAATTCCTTATTGCTTAAAAATAGTTAGCAATCAGCTACCAAATGTAGAAGTACATCTTACACTGGCTGTGAAACAGTTTCTCTTAAAAGTCACAGAGTTAAACTGCTACTCTTCAAAGCTTCTCTTGCCATGCATGTAAATAATTACTGAAATAATTCTGTATATTTTTATTCAGCTCCTTTCACCTTCAGAGACATAATTTTAATGTAATGTTCCACATCTGATAGCCATTATTACTTTATCTACGATTTCTCATTTAAGGGGGAAAAAGTTACTTTAACCAGACACAATGCCATATTTTTTCCAACTGTTTTTGGGCAAAAGAGTAGTTTATCTAATAATCCTCTCTGCATTTCCTTCTCCTTGTGAATCTTTACAAGGACACAGGGGCAGGCTAGGCTGTAGCTCTATTAGCTGCTTGTAACTGCTGTGGTTTGCTGTGGTTGTCAGCTTTTCAGATTCTGACTTGGAGCACATAAAACTCAGAATGGGTTTCCAATCCTCGTCTACCTTCACAACACCATATATGAAATAGCAGCAGACTGCACTCCAGCTCACTGTTTCTTTTACAGTTTTCACTAACCATTTGCTGAATCTGTTTACAAATGTGAAGTACAGACATCCCCAAGGTCAAGTGCTTTAAAAATTAAGTAGAGAAGTGCAATGTGGAGGGCACCACAACATTCCGGCCACCAGGAACTTCCTTTTCCTTCTCCAGTATCTAAAGTATTAAACCACATCTTGTGTATGTAATTTGGGTTTGATTCCTTTCCTTCCAACTAGCTGCCCAAGTCAGAGGAGTGAAAGGATTAGCTAGATGCTTTAGTGTTTTGAAGTGGTTTTGAGAGTCATTACAAGCTCTCACACAGCACCACATTACTGAAATGCAAACTTTGAACTTCCAGATCAATTTTCACGTGCCGGAAATGGTCGTACATACTTTCCTCTGATTCCCATAAAATACTTAACTGCTCCAAACTTTGTGTGTGTTCCTCTCTATGCTTTCAGGGCCAGACTCCTTCCTGAAATGACAGTATTTCGGTTATCTTCAAACACCATTACGCTTCTCTAAGTTTTCCTAACAAGGTTTTAAGAATATAGCTGAAACATTTTATAAAAAGAGTAAGAAATACTTTTATGCAAATTGTGCACGTCTATATTCAAATTACAGCATGAGCTTTTTCCTTTTACTATTTCTACCATTCTTCGTATGCCTTCTCTATAGTCATGTTCATCAAGGCAGACACCTTTGGATGATACAACCAAATGCAAAAGAAGAATATCAACAAATTTAAAAGAAATCAAGCTTAGCATTTTCCATATGGGCAAATCCTAAAACTTTTCCAAACTCCATCTTAAAAATAAAAAATAAGAAAGCTTGACATTCTTACTCTTTTTTATTTCATAGTTTCATGATCCTAAAAGGATTAAATGTTTTAATATGATTTAATACAAAAATTGTTTAAAATGCAGATGAATTCTCCTGTTCTAAATTATAAAGTATGAACACAGTGTATCTACAACTTTAAAAATGTTGTAGCAGTCTATTCCTCCCAAATTCTTTCAAGTCTTGCAGCTCAAGCAAATACATGAATTGGATCTGTTTCGATTTCAGCTATGGCACATCAAATACAGACCAACCTGAATCCTAAACCACATTTCTCCTAGAGAAGAATTAAGCTAGAATCAAAATGCTTAAAAATCTGGATGTAGAACAGCTTTCACATTTTACATCTTGAACTGTGGTCACAAGACAGCTATGCTTATGGATGGCTCAGAAATGAAACTGGGATTTACTTACCAAGAACTACTGCTCCTCTGTACTGCCAGTCCAGCTGAATGGATCACACAGCTAGTCCCATCTACTTCACCAAGGCTAGTCATGTAAGGTTGGGCACAGGGAACTTATCCTAATTTGAATCCAGTCATAGAAAAGTCTCTTAAAAATCACAGCTTCATAGCTACAGCTTTTGTGCTGATGATGTGCTCCACACACAGCTATGGATGTCACCCATGGTGTCCCTGTGCCTGCAAGACCCAGATGCACTCAAAAATGACAGTCACCAGCATTCATCCAGCCCTAGCAAGCTTCTCAATCTTACAACAAGTTTTTTAAAGCCAGAACTTTTCTCACCCAGTGGATTCCAGTGGAGGAGCTGGAGACCTCCAGGATTTTGCCAGGATTTAACAGTCTATCAGCAGTGAACAGTTATATTCTTGGTGACATTTCAAACAAAACAAACCAGAACGTTCTGCTAGGCACCGCATCCTGAGAATAATTTGTCATTCTACATGTTTTAATGACATAGGACTGGATGCTACTAGAATATACAAACCAGACATGTCTTTATATACATTTGCAGTATTCTGGATCCGATTGCTCAGTCCGTCACAGCAAACATGTAACATACAATCACAACCACACAAAATATAACATGCCCAAATTTCACATCTTTTTATCTTGTAGGTGTGAATCTTTACACAGTTTCCTAGTGAGGCAATTTGGTCAAAAGGGTTCACAAAGTTTCATACGTCTTTTAAAAAATTGAGAGTCCACTTTAGTGCCTGTCTGTGCTAGAATGTAATTAAAAAATAGTGAAAAATTGAATCATCCTCCAGTTGACTTGGTTTTCTGCTATTCAAGTAAATACAATACACCAGCATTTATTGTGTCTCATCACCTCATCCTCTTGCGGACTTCCAGCCCAAGATGATGGTCATATCTTTTTGGTGAACTGAGCTAAATACTACAAATGAAATCATTCTTTCAGAATGCATGAATAAAGGGTGATTTCGACAGTCTCTAATCTTTCCTTGCAACAGAGAAAATGAGAAAACAGCTGGGTTTTAGGAATCTTTCCACAACAGACCTACAACTACCAACACCTACTACGTTCACCATGAATTCAACATGCCAATCAAATGAGAAAACACATTAAGAATACTATGCAAATCCCCACTTTTAATATCCAAGTATTTCACAGCTGAAATAAAAGTTGTACAGTGTGGAAATAGCATTCAAATATTCCTCCTCTTTGAGAGAAACTTATTTTCTTAGGAAAATGTTTAATTAAAAATACATGTTTGCTGCAAATGCTAGACATTTTGACTAGGGAACGAGCTATAAATTTCTCATGCTAAACCACAGAAGGAAGCAGTTAGCACTGATATTTGGAATGTCACCTAATAGCGATAAAACAAATCAGAAACATTTGGACAAAATTGGTGGGAAAACATATGGCTCAGTTCTGTAACTAGATATTAACATTCAACCTTTTGGGAAATGCAAGGAGATAAGTGCCACCACATCCTCACTGTGAGTCAAGGGACTGCAGAATCAGCATATGTTTCTACATAAGCAGTGTATAAAATATTTATTCTGAGCACAAAACTTCCAAGTTGGTCCAAAATTCTGTAGTCACTGGAATAGGTCCATAACTTCAGCAGCCTGCAAATCACAGGCTTATTGAACAGAAGATAACAAATCGTCACTATTTATTGCTCTAACCACTCTGGATCCATTCTTTGTAAATTATATAGTCTGTTCTTGCATGTCCCAGACATCCAGATCTTCAGTATATTGCAATGGGAGTGCTGAAGTAGCACACAGACACCCCTCCAAAATACTACCTAGAAGATGTAATTAAAT